TTAGGGGCCTCTCTACTGACTCACCTATTCCCCAGTTCAGAGTCTATCATGTTAGCCAACCTAATGATTTCTTTAGGACTCAGTCTTGTTCACCTTCATCAGCAGTGTCAGACTGGGAAGGGACGGATTTCTTTCTGGATAATCTCTTTGATGAGACGAGAGCACAGTCACCTCAATCAGACATATCAGATCTTGAATTTGATAAACTATTTAGTGGTAGACCATTGTCCCCTGAATCTTTGTCATCTGAATTTGACTTTGCATCAATAAAGGAATGGTTGTTTGACTTCAGAGCGTCTTCTCCAGAGTCAGTTGTTTCAATTGAAGAGTCGCTCACTGAGCCATCAGTGAGTTTTGGTCAAGTTTTGAAACATTGTAACTATTTTTTGCATTATTCTTATCGCAGACCTTCAACACCATATTCAGACCTGTCAAACACTGAAGATCCCACTTATCATTTAGAAGAACTGTTTGATCCTAGCAGACCAGATACACCAGATTCATTTACTTCAGAAAACAATGCTTGTCGGAACAAACCGGAAGCAATATCAACCCAAGCCTTATACACTTCAGGACCCTTATCATATGCAGCTGTGGTGCGAGGTATTCCTAATGTACGACCAAAGCTGATAGAAATGGAAGAATCAGATCTGATCTCAGATAGTCCCATTTTATTGTTTAATGAATCTTCTTACATTGATGATTGTAACTACAGGCCTTTATCTCCTGACTCAGCTGCATCTGACAGTGACTTTATGCCCCTCTCTCGTGACTCACCTATTCCCCAGTTCAGAGTCTATCATGTTAGCCAGCCTAATGATTTCTTTAGGACTCAGTCTTGTTCACCTTCATCAACAGCGTCAGACTGGGAAGGGACAGATTTCTTTCTGGATAATCTCTTTGATGATTCTAGAGTACAGTCACCTCCAACTCCTTCATCTCCTCCTTCATCTCCATCTCCTGCGTCAGCAGCTTCTCAATGTGAATATATGCCTCTCCCTCCAGACTCACCTGTCCCCCAGTTCATAGCCTTTGATGAAACCCAGATTCTTGATTTCTCTGGGAATCAACCTCTGTCACCTTTTTCATTGTCCCCAGATTCTTTGTCGTCTGAAATTAATTATTGTCTCACACCAGAATGGTTAGAATTCAGGCAATCTTCTCCTGAGTCTATGGTTTCAGTTAAACAGTGTTTATATGATCAAAGACCAACCCCCAAGTGTTGTGACTACCTCCTTAATTATTCTTCCAGCTCTCCATGCTTTGAAGTTTTTCATTCAGAAAGATCCCTCTCTACTTTTCAATCCTCTGATAAATGTTCATCTCCTGGAAATTCACAATTGTCAATTTCAACTACTTCTGATACATCAGTTGACAGTTTATTGGATGATACTCAACAATCACCTGTCAAAAACAATACTACATCATTTTCTGATGTAAGTGATATTATAGATTTAAATAGCCCACTCAATCATCAAGAGTCTCTCCTGTCTCCTCTTACGTCCTTTGAAGAACGCACGTCATTGCCATCTGATTTTCTCTCAGCAAATACAGAATCAACCCAAAACAAAGTCAGTCCCCTTGAGAAAGCACTGCATATTAGCCGTATCCAATACCAGAGAACAGGATTGATATCACATGTGTACGATCCATTGTTTACTGGATACTTTTGTTGAATTGCTATATTCAAATTTGAGAGCCAGCTTAAATAATCACACAACATAATTTCAATAAATAATAATGATTATTATAATTATGATTTATATAAATAAATATAATATATTATCCTTTTATATATATAAATGAATATATATATATATATATGTTTTTTATTCTTATTTTTATTATCTCTTTTTGACTGTTGCACTGAGCCAAAGCAATTTCCAAGTCTGTGACCTCCCGTTACTTACGTTGGCAATAAAAATGATTCTGATTCTGATTCTGATATATATATACACACATTATATATATATATAAATATATATATATATATATATAAAAAAGGATAATATAAAGGAACAGTATGTCGTTCACTTTTATTAATTGCTTTACGATGTTACTACCAATTCAATCCAAATCTCTGTTGCCAGTGTCTTGCCCACATAAACACACACACACACACACACACACACACACATCTACAAGCAGGTCTTCCTCTGGTCTGAATACTAATCTACTTAAACTGCTGTTCACCAAAGACACTGGGTATGCAAATGAGGGATTCATGCAATAATAATTCTGCTCCCAGATTGGATATTCAACTTGAGAACACTATTTTAACCTGTTTACTTTACTAGTGCCGCCATCATGAACATTGTTTTATAATTAAGACTAAATCCACATTAACATTTTGATCAGAAAAAGGTACATGTTGACATTGTGTGCTGGGACACAGATGAAATACGTAATTGACGGTAAAAGTTGTATACTGGCCCTTTCATTATGATTCCCATCAAAATGCTCCAGATCATGCACTGACTCGGATGAGGCTGATTTGACGGGTTACTAATAACTATTTACCGTTACTTTAAATGATTAATCTCTGATGCTGTCTTTAATATGAAACAATTTAAACAATAGGTTCTCGGCAACAGGTTATTTTCTTTACTCTGATATCTTATTCTTGTGGAAATAGTTTTTTTATTCACCAAACGGAATCTTTGTTATCTGTAAGTTTGCCATTGGTTTATGCTGTTTTGTAGCACAATTATTTGAAAAGTGCATAATGTCCTTGCCTGACCAGCCAGAAACACATCTTTTTACAATAACTACAAATGTTTCTGAAGATGAATACAATGCTGGGGACAAGATTCTGCCAAAGCAACTGATACCAATATTATTATTAGTGATATTTTATATGAAAGTGGCTTGGGCAAATGTTTTTTTTTTAAATCTTATTAAAGATATGACATTAGCAAGACATTTGCATGAATAAAAGACATGCACAACACCTCCCATCGTCTCCAACTTGAAAAATGTTCAGGCTGGTTTATGTTTTCATTTCATTCTTTTCAATATACATTATCTAGAAACAAAATAATATTTTCTTGAGTCTTGATGTTGAGTCACAAGTTATCTATGGACACAACATTCAATATACATTATTTTTTGCAAAATGCAACAATAACAAAATAATTGTCAATTGGACTATGGAAACAATGGATCTTTCTGTCATCATTTTTGGACTACGCATTTTCAATGTCTGAGATTTGTTTTGGATTAAAATCAAGAAGAAAGCTCGAAAGTCCTCATGTCCTGGTTTTGGTAAGCGAGCCCTGTCGAGTGCAGTGTCATTAGTAGTCATAATCCGCTGGAACATCCTGGCATGTATGCAATATGAGATGAATGGCCTTTTAATAAGCACAACATCCCTGCTTTGGTTTTGGTACACTAACATATGTACCTTGTGTATGATTACCATAGAAGTGGTTTAGTCATCCCACATGCAAGACACGTTTTTCTTCTAAAATGTTGCCAAGATTTTACTAATGAGCTATTTGGATCAGGCTGCTTTGCTTTTGGCTTACCAAGTATCAAACTGGATTTAAGATTGTTAAGTGAAAGTGATTGTTTGATATATACAGTATATGTTGAAAGCCCATTTGTGCCCTTGTTGATAAAAGGATTATACAATCGGGTATAAAATGTTCAAAAAGGGACACACATGATTTTACTTTCCTCTCTTGGTCTCTTGTTGTTACACATACAAAGTGCATGCTAACTTTTCATCTTTCATATCACTCATTAAAAAAATCCATTTCATTTATTATTTCTTACAGATACCAACAACATCATCCAAGATACATTTTTCAGAATCCTCAGAACAATGCATTTTGATCACTGAAAAACCTCAAAACCCATATCCAACCACGTTTTCCACTAACACACAGTCACAGTTTTTGGGAGATCATGAACTTACAAAGACTGGTCTTTTAAGCATAAGACCTGAATATTATGAAGAGAGATTATGTTCAGAAGGTCCAGACATGTCCTCAGTAATTGACCCCATCAGTCCACCTACAGAATCCAACGCAGTCCAAAATGTCATGGCTGCCTCTGAACTCCGGACAGCATCATTCACCAGAGAAAGCCCAAATACAAATATTCTGGCTATAGATCTAGATGGCCACATTTTCACACCGATGAAAGCTGAACTTGATGAATTTATGAGCTCTCAAGAAGATCTCAAGAAATTAACAATTGCCACTGATGAAAGTGAATCTGCACAACACAAGTTTGAAGCACAGACAAACCAGGCTGATGACTGTGTTGTAACATCCTGCAGCCCCAAAAAGGCTGATGTTGAAGCTTTCGTCCTTGATAATGATCGTTTGGATGGTAGAAGACAAGACAATCATAAAACTGACAATCAATATCTTGACCTACCCATTGATCGTGTTTCTGATGTTGGGGCCTCAGCCATGACTTTACCAAAACAACCATTTGATTCTGATGAATCTAGACTGGAGACAGGCCAGGGCCCTCTTCTTGAAGATGAGAATCTATTTTTTACTTTAGATGGAATACAACATTTGGACACAACTCAAACAGGTCAAAACAATGACATGTTTGGAATAGGGGAGAGTCGGGCTAACCAAAAAGAAGACATCCTCACACTTTATCAAGACTCTAATTATCCTGGGTCTCATGACCCTTTTTCATTTGAACTTCAATCAGATGTTTGTCTTTCAGGCAGTCCCCAGTCATCCTATTCAGGCCATCGCGAGAGTTTTGCTGAAAGCCAGAGCTTAGATGTGATAATACAGACTAGTCCAGCTGACGAAAAAGCATCTGAAATACAGTCCGTGGTGTCTTGGCCTGAAATGACAGCTGGTCAGATAACACAAGAAATTAGTTTACCCTTTGAGGAAAATTGGGAATATCTGTCAGATGTTTCTGAAATGTGTGACAACAAGCGTTTTGAGTCATCCAGCTCTCGAGATGACAATATGCCAGTCACTGCAGCAGTCTCTGCAAATGTTGATGAAACAGAGTTACCCATGGCTCCTTCAGAAGCATCATCAATGTATTTTGGTTTTGAGGAGTTTTTACCTGTGGTTGCTGCAGGACCTGCACAACCAAGAAACAATTTGCAACACTCAAAAGAGCCAGTTACACTAGCAGAGAAATTAGAACAGGAATTATCTCCTCCAGAAGATGAGTACTGCATCCCACCAGGCTATGAAGAGGTCTCAGAAGCGTTTGATAATAAGGGTGTGCACAACAAAGCAACCATTTTGATTTTTGAGATGCCCGACACAGAGGCGTACTTTGACTGTAAACAAGGGGCTTCAGATTTCTCAGAGACGGAATCTGAGGAACCCGAGATCAAATCTGGATCGTCTTATCAGTCTTGCAATGATCCAATGAAGAGCCAAAGATCTTTTCCTCTCTTACCTTCTGAAAGTGAGGAATATGAAGACTCAGCTTTTCCCTATGAACCTCTTTCCCTTGTACAAGAAGAAGATGGCGAGAGTTCTGAAGATGAATTTACCTTATGTGAAGCTCCACCACCAAACACCACTGTTTGTGAATATGACAATGATGACACTAATGAAACTATCTGGAGGGTAAGATTGAACCCAGAAAACTAACCCTGAAATGAATCCCAGCGTATGGCAAAAATCTTTGCTAACAATGTGGCTGTAGAAAAATACAGAATTTCTATCTATCATGTTTTTGCTTTTATTTTGTTTAATTATGCATACGCTTGTCACTGCTGACCATAAGCACTGCTTGCTCACTCACTCACAAACACGCCTACCTCTTGCTTTCACCAGTAAATTGTATTAGTAGCATGGTGTGTTTGCCATGATGTACTTTCTAGCATTTGTGAAATGTCACTTATTAAGCAATTGTTGGAAAGTCCACCATTTCACGCTGATCACTGGTTTGCATTGCTTCAAACACATGCTGTTAAACTTGATCTAAATGGGTTATGTTGGTAAATCAGGAAATCGAAGCAGGACTAGGAAAACTGTCAGAAAGTTCTGATGAGGAGTTTTTGACCACAAGGATAATCCGGAGAAGGTTTATCATGAAGGTATTTGCGTTGGCATGATGGGTGGTGTACATTTGCAGTGAGCGACTGTCGCTGTGTCTTACACATTAGACATATGTCTATCTGTAGAAGAGTCAGTTGGTTTCATAATTATAACTAACCTAAATCATTATTGTGTAATGAGATTTCTTTTCCTATTTGAATTTTTGAAGTTTAAGCAATTGCATGTAAGAAGGGCTGCTGTCCTTGTCTTTTTGAACTACTTGTTGTGGATTCGACAATAATATATTTCAGTAACAGAAATACTAACACGTATTGTCTTTGCAGGCTGATGAAATGGACGATGTCCCACCTCAGTCAGTCTCAGAAGAATCATACGTAGATGAAAATGGACACACTGTTGTCAAAAAAGTAGGTACATGTTTCTTTCTTTACAGAATATCGTTTTGGTGATCATTTTACTTGCCAGGACCACAACCATCCAACCAAGTTTGGGTGTGATTCTCAGCAATAAGGTCCTGGGTTTCAATCCTGGTCGGAACAGGGTCCCTCTGAGTAGAGTTTGCATGTTCTCCCTGTATCTGCCTAGGTTTCCTCCATGTGCTCCAGGTTTCCTCTGCCACTAAAAACATGTATAACAGGACACTGTCCTCCAGCTCTGGTAGCCCTGTGCTACGGCGACCACTGCTCCTGACAGAGGCCCGAGTGGCCTTGTGTATTGTTATGTTTTAAATGAATGTTTTTGAATTTTAATTTTGATTTATTCAATTTAAAATATTGGTATCTTATTTACTTTTTCCCAGATTACAAGAAAAGTTATCCGCCGATATGCTTCTTCTGATGCTGTGCTAGAGCAGGATTCATCAGAGGAAGGTGCCCAGGCCAGCATCCGGGGAGATGGATACTCCCAAGTACTCCAGAGGACCATAGTGAAGAGTGAAGGGGACCAGTCAGAGGTACTGATTACGTATCTACTTTTCAAAGCCTAACCTGGTCAGAAGATAAGCATGCAGGGCCTGGTACTAAGATGGGAGGCCCCTGAGTATACCAAGTGTTTAGGAGGATGGCTGAAGCTCTAAAGGGCAAATTGGCGTTGTGTCCTTAGGAAAACCAATCCCCCATATTGACAAGTACGAGTCTGGCGTGGTCGGTGGTCAGAGTGGCTTCACTTTAAGTCAGCCTCTCTCAGAAATTCCTGTTTGTTGCATTTATTAATTAGTGTCTCTATTGCTACTACTTCATGAGAATCATTCCATCCACTCATTTTCTTCTGCTTCTACCGTTGCCGGGTTGTGGGGGCAGCAGTGTAAGCGGAGACGTCTGGACTTCCCTGTCCTCACACCCCAAGGTGTTCTCAGGCCAGGAGAGGCAGTCCCTCCAGCGTGTCCTGGGTCTTCCCCGGGGTCTTATTGTTTATTATTAATGTTTTGCACAAGCTTAATAAACAGGGGATGTTATTTTGTTGTTCCTTCAGGTAACATTTACTGAATGTGTGGGTTCATCAAAGTCAGACAAAGCTGAAATGGGAGGAGTCAGTTGCGTTGAATATGAGCGGACCGTGACTTTGGCCTCAGACATCCCTTCAGCACAGGATGACTTCAGACAGGTTGGTAAAGATATTGATATTATGATTAATTCCCTTATTATTTATTTTTTGTTATTGTGAATCACTTTCTTTTCAAATGCTTCTTTGATATTTGATATGAATAGGATCTAGGATATATATCCTACGGTGTTAACGGTGTTAATGGCACAGAGCTCCCTCCTGTGGTAGAGAGGCAAACTGCCAGAGAGGACGGGACTGTCGTGAGGAGGTGTGAAGTTTACCTAAAAGTCTGCAGTTTGTTGAGTTGCATCTTCCGGAATCTTTTTTAATCTAATAATCAGGCATACTCACAAACATGTATTGCAATTGTGTGTTGTGTGTGTGTGTGTGTGTGTGTGAAATAACCTCTGCTGTGATTAATTGTGCCGAGGCATTGGAGTCTTTCCAAATATATTATTACACAGATGTTTTTTGCACACACATGCTTGCTCTTGTTAAGTAAGTATTTTTTTATTTATATAGCACATTTTACAGACCAAGGACTCCCAAAGTGCTTTACAATGTTCAGAAGTTAGATATTTTTTCATTCACTCACAGCCTCTGACCAACACCATTCACTCACTCACTCATTACATTCATACCTATTGAACATGTTTTTAGTGGATAGGGGAAACCGGAGCACCCGGAGGCAACCTACACAGACACGGGGAGAACATGTAAATTCCACTCAGAAAGGCCCAGTTCCGAGAAGCAACTATATTAGTGATTTCTAATATTAGTGATATTTTAGGATATAATTGTTCTGGGATTCCGTATTACCCAGACCCATACACAGTGAAGAATATAATAATGAAAAAGCTTTAAAACAACTTTTACAACAACACTTCCTTTCTCACATTTACTGTACATATCTGATGTTAAACTATTCTAATTTTTTTCTTATTTTGTGTAACTTTCCCAAGGTCCCAGACGTGTAAAAGCCACAGTCTGAGGCGGACCGTGGTGAAGGGAGCTGAAGAGAAGCAGCTTTTGAAGCGAGCAAAGGGTCCTCGAAAGGGTTCAAGGTCGACTGCCCTTAAGCAACACCTCCACCAACTCTTTCACCAACACCACGATCAAACACACGGACAAGCCCCCGACAGCGAGGGACAAGAAACCCACTGATAAAAACTGCTCGAACCCACTCCCAAGCTAGAAGATACGCTTAAATCCTATGCATTAGCCAGACGCAATCCCAGAGTGTGCTAGGGCAACTCCAAGCCTATACCATAGTCTTCCCATTTAGTCTCAAAACGCAATTTTGTTACATTTTTCGGACCAAAGAAAATATTTACGCTGTTTTTTTCCCCCACTTTTTACGTACGTCTATTGTATACGTTCTTATCGCTATGGTAGAGGCTCACATGCCAAGAAGTATATTCTCCACACATTCATGTAACACGCAGACCTCTTCTATTCTCAATAATATTTGACCTACTGAATATTTCTACTGCTCTCTTCAGTATTTACTCTGACTGTGCACTGACTCTCACCACTCCACCCACCGTTATAAAAAAGCAGGTGGTCAAGATGTCACATAGACCTTATGATTGCTCCTATTCATTACAGCTGCTTTATGTGTGTTGTGTAGGCCCGATGTAATCTGAATTCTGTACTATCTATTTAGCGGCATTATGGACATCTGTAGCCTAGACACTAATAGCCATTCATGTGAAGTAGAGCAGGCATGACTAATGAAACATCTGTTATTATATTAGCCGCATTGTTCTGTGGACTGCTGCTACAGTACCTCCCCTTTTCCAATGTGTAGCTTTTCATTTCTGTGATGTGATAACCATTTATAGCCTTTATAATTTCCTTAAATCACATTGTATGAATGGGTACTACTTCTGTAAATGTCTCGTCACGCATGTGTTTCCTGATTTCCGTAAGAGCCGTGATTAAGTGATGCATTGAATGTACTTATTTATTTCGTTTTTGATTAGAACTTTCTGATTTTGTATTTTCTCTGAATGAATGTGTGAGCAGTTTTTTCTGAGAACAGTGATTTATTTTTAATTTTGTTTTAATCATTATTATTTGCATTGGCACTCTTGAATGTCGGAGTAAGCTTTGTGTGCACAGGTTTGAGGTCGAACAAGAGGTTGAGAGCATCAGTTTGTCATTATCCAAAACGCTTTCTCACAGGTTTTGTTGTTAGTAACTAAGAGATACAGTATGTATGTATGTATGTACAATGCAAACTAGTGGAATTTCACTGTGACAGGTATGCGTTTATTTTGAGCATCCTTCTGTGATGAGTTATAGTATTTGAATTTAATGCATATGTATAAATATCTATAGGGCATGCATTACTGTACCAGAAATAAAAAATATATATATGAAAAATAAAATGACTGCAGTGTTTCTATGGCTAATACCACAATAAACAAATTAAACTACTGTTCTCTGCATTTTACATATTCATTTATATTCATCTTAGTCAAAGACATTAGACCAAACTATTATCCATCCATCTATCCATTTTCTTCCCCTTTATCCATTTCTGGGTCGGGGGGTGGCAGTAAGAGCTGCACCCAGTACACTTAGTACCAGCCCCTCACTGATCCTCCTGCAGGTGGTGAGTCCACAGGAGTTGAGATCTAAACTAATTTGTATCTATTCATGTAAAAATGTACAAATGCATATAACGCGTTTAAAATAAAATAAAGGGGAGTTCCAATATTGGCTGTTAGGTATCTGCATGAAATATGTGTGTTAATTGCGGTGTTTCCCAACCAGGGATTTTGGGATTTAAGCACTTGGTAAACATAATCCTAGACTTTACAAAGTGAAACTAAACCATATTTTAGTATAGATTAATATTATGTAGCAAATAGTAAATTTACATTGTTGAAAATTGTGTAATAAACAAATAATTAATCAGTATAAAACATGTGATTATACAAAAATAATGTATTTGCTTAGTACTTAGTGGGTACCAGGTGTGAGACATTGTTTAGGTACTTGATATGAAAGGTGAAAAACCCCTGGTCTTGACCTTTCATTTTGTGAAATATAATCACAATCGTATGTACGAGTCAATGATGTGAAAAGGCAGCTGTGTTCTATCTTAATTTATTATCACATATCGAGTTGATTTTATTTGTTAAACATGTTAAGCCATCCATTGCCGTGCTGGCAACAGTACACACACTATAAGGAGCGGTGCATTGCATTGACATCATACATTTCATCAAAATAAATCATAATTTCCCTTTAGAAATGGAAAAAAAAGACAGACCATTTTGAAAAGCATACACTGTTGATGGCAGCGAGGGCCCCACTGATCATTGTGGCCGTCCAGGATAACGGTCTTCGTCTGCATCAAAGTCTCTGTACAACTGGCAACACACTGGAAATGACAAGAGGTAAATGACAACAGAACAGTACATACACTCATACAGTACAGTACAAACATTATGAAAATGCATTTCTTCTTCTTGTTTTATACAAATTGTGATGGGTGCTTGCATTTGCTTGATATGAATTGAATAATGCCTGATTTTCACTTTATATTCTCCTTTTGAACCGTTTTTACAGTTCCTTGATATTGACATTAGTAACATCTTAACAGGACTGATGCACAACATAAACATAATTATGCAAACAAATGAGTCAGTGATTAACAAATCAAACAGAATAGTTTAGTTTATGATCTTACATTACCCTCCATGCACTACACAATAGTCTTGGATTTTCTTATTTTACATATATGCTACATTCTCTTAATTCATATTTCACTGATAATAAAGGCAAACATATCTTAATGCAAAGTATAAGCTGCTTTGCTTTTCTTTACATTTAAATTAGGCTAGTATTATTAAAACAGTAGAATTCAAACAGTATGACTTAGCTCATTGCAAACATAAAATAGCTCACCACCTGGATTTGATGTCAAGTTATAATTCATCTCATAGCAAAAAAAAAAAAAATACCAATTGAATATCTGCTTTTAGATCAACAATCACAATGTAGTTATATACATCACCAGAAAGAAAGCAAGCTCGATTAGAACATTCTGATCTTCCAAATGTTTTCAGTGTTCCACACACATACAGTAAATACACATAAAAATGTTTCAGAGAGATTACTGTCGATTTTTTAACATCTCTATTTTCATATTTAAAATGCATACCAAAACATCTTAAAAAACAAAACAAAATGTCATTATGCTAATTTCAATGTCCAAATACAGTGTGCAGCCACCTGGTGGTGGGTTAGAATGAAGTTCATTGATAAAACTCCATCACATTAAAATGTAGCTGTGTCCTGTGCAGAGGGGTCAGGAGGTAAACGGGCGCACTCTGGTCGGCTATTGGCTAGTGGATGGCCTTACTCTTGATGCTATAGACCTCAAACTGGCATTCATTAACTGTCAAAAGAGAAGAAACATGGGTGAATATGAATGCATGGAAACACACAAAGAATCAGAGCAACTGCACTAGAATCAAACTTTAGCTATCAAATGTAGTGATTAACAGTCTCCAGCAGGGGGTTTCAGTCACCAAAACCTTTCTATACTTCCATCACCTACAGTATGGCAGGTAGTGATTATGTAGGAATGTTAAGGCTAGAAATATGAAAAAACGCTCAACTCCCCACAAAACAAAGTGTGTGTACATGTGTGTGCATGGGTGTGCATGTGTGTACATGTGTGTGCATGTGTGTGCATGTGTGTGCATGTGAGCCGAAGCAAATTCCAAGTATGTGACTTTCTATTACTTACAAAGGCAATAAAAATACATCTGATTCTGATGTGTGTGTGTGCGTCCCTAGTGTTGTGCGTCTTACTGGGAGGGGATGCTGGGAGATCCAGAGCGGTGGAAGTGGATGTTCTGCCACTTCCCGTCTCGGCGGTGCCAGACGCGGGTCTCCTCGGACTGCATGGTGCGGGGCATACCATTGCCGTCCATGTACTGGGTCAGGCGGATGTAAGCGATGCACGCCGCGTTCTCTCCGATGAGATGCACATGTGGGTTTAGCAGGATCGTGTGCACTGGCTTATTCCCCTTAGAGAGGGCTGCAACATAGAGCACCGGGTTGGATCGTAAAATTCCTCTATAATGTTAAAGTGACAGACTGCAGGCAAGAACATGTCTCCATAAGATGCTGCTTGACTGTGGGAAAGATAAGTATTGAGGTTTCTGGGACATATCTGCTTGATCTGCTCTATTTTGATTCAGTCTGAGGACACTCTTCCATTTTTAGCAGCCATTATTCATCAGTGTGGGTTTTTTTTGCCTTTTTTGCTCCAAGGTCACTGCCTAATTGCTGCACTACTCGACATAGAAATAACAAACATTGTCTGTTCAATATTAATAATAAATCAGACAATACAATCCTGTCAAATAGTAGTTATTAATTCTAAATGCTTTAAACAGTGTGTATCTAGCTAGGGATCATGAGCTTGCATATGAGTTCTTAGTGAAGTCTAAATAAATGAGAAAATAAATACCATTGGCATTCGCTAAAGAACAAGATATAAACGTACCATTTTCAAAGTAAAAGCGATGAAAGTCATGCCCCTCCACCAGGTTTCCAAGTGCCTCAGGCTCAAATGAGGTCAAACCAGTGTCACAAATCTTCCTGTGCACAAACATCCAAAGCAGGGAGAAATTCAACAAACAGAGCAGAGTTTACAGTAAGTAAATAAGAAAACAAAACATACGCATAGGCCTCAAAATCTCCATTGTTGATGGACTCAATCAGCTGCTCTGTTACTTTGATGATTTCCTGTTTGCGAGCTGCAACACAAACCGAAACACATCATTCACACATTTACAACTTTCTATCAAAACACCACTTTGGGTACTGTATATGGGTTGTGGTGAAAAAGGTCCTATTCTACACGGACATTATTAGCAATGGAAGGGAAACATCGAGGAATTTTGAAGTGAAAGCCCTCCATGACTAATTTTTTTAAGGAAATGAAATGAATGAGGTAACCTACTTTTGACCCAGCTAAGCTAAAAATAAATAAACAAATAATGTGCACAATTTCTACAAAAGCAATTTTGGACAATTACCTTTATTGTTATTGGTGCAGGCTGGGGGATATTAAAGAGATTACTTAATTTAGGTAAGACAAAGACAAAGTAGAGTATATATATGTTATGAACTACACACTAGAAGGGTCGGAAAATACAAGCAGATACGATTTCTTGTACTTTCCTGAACAATGAAGGGCATTTCTCTTATGGGCAGAAAACTTACTCTGGACTGTGGAGGTGGGGGGGCTCTGCCTGGACTCTGACATCTGAGACGAGCGACTCTTTGAGCTCAAGAGGCCGCTCACTAAGCTGCCCAGACGCAGGGCTGAACAGTGGGGAGAGCCAGCATGCATATGGGCACGAATGTAACACAAATCAATATGTTATGTGCTTTCAATGGCAGCAGAAGGGAGGCCAAAGTAAAGACAGTCTGGAAGTAGTGTCTGGGATCTTCATTCATTGCTGAAGAGTGGTGTGGACAAGACAAATGAATATATATCTAAAGGACTGGCTACCTTTCACATCCTCGTCTTCGATGGTGGTGTTGGCACTTTCAATGGACTCCTTTCAAAAAATGAAGAGCACATTGTAAACATACTTATGATGTTGCTGCTCACAAAAAAACGTGGACTTTGTTTCAGTGGATAAGGGTTTTCCAATTTAAAATAATGATGTCTATACCTTGTTTCCATCCACTGGATTATGAATTACAGTTGTCTGTGGTTCCTAAAACAAAAAGCAATTGTTACAATATAGTTATTACAATCACAATGATTTGTGTGTATATGTCTCTGAGCATTTCATGTATAGCTTTTCTTTGTTTTATTTCTCTGGATACCAGGGGCTTAAAATTGAATCGATCCTGATGGCCGGCTCAGAGCTTCTAATCACTCAGCCAGATTAAACCAGATTATAACATCATCAGGCCGCCTCTGTCTATGTGCTGTGTACATGATGAACCACACAGGAGCAAGAGATGCCATGTGCCACATGCGTAATCAACACGGGAGCAAATGGGGAAGAAGAGAGCGTTTGACATCATGCAGAGCAGTCATGTGACCTGGCGTCAGACACCGATTCAGAGAGAGCATGCACAAGTCTATAAGCCACAGTCAAGAATAGAGCACGCACAATATTTTCCCCTATGGCAGCAACATTACTCACACAAAATGCATGGGCAATTACAACATGAAGAAGTGAATATGTTTGTAAGGACACAATGATGCTAAACATAATCTACAATACATACAATATAAGAGTACTGCTCAGTGGTAGAGGTAGAGGTTTCCATATCAGCTGTTGAAATTTAACACGCTTGACAACTAGATTTTCCAGCTGATCCAGCCTAGAATGCCCCATGCAGCATGCTTGAGCCAAATAACTTGCTAATTGTCACTGATGACGTCCTGTTATTTCACAGTTTTACTGGTATGCGCTCAGGCTTGGCATGCTGTGCAAGAGCAGTTACACCCCAGTGCATTCAGGGAGAGCCTCAAGTTATATTAGTGAGACAGTTCGTATAAAATATCATTTTATCATCATCATTTTTAGATGATATTGTATAAAAGCTGCATTCTGGGTGAACCTGTACCTCCTCACTTGTGGAGAGGTGTGAGGTCTGTGTGAGTGACTGTGTGAATACCAGTGCAGGGGCAGGGCCAGTGTCTTTAGGACTGGTCACTGTGTTGGCTTTGTTGTTGACCTGCAGGGGGCAGTGTAAAGGGAATATGACACAAACACACACAGACGTCTGCACAATCGCCTTGTTTTCCACAACTACGAAGTAAAGTACATATATGTGATATGTGCACTGTCAAATTGCCCCATGCTGACTGTGACTGATCAGTCAAAGATTTTCAAATAAAAAAGAGAATGATTATTAATTACTTATAAATACACAATCAGGTATGTGTGTGCAAATATGAAAGGTGGTACTCAAAATAATCTATAAAGTGAATAAACCACTAAAAGAAAATAGACAAATTAATAGAGGAAAGCATACACAACCCATATCCAAGCAATTGGTTAGTTTAAGTGCAGTACCAAATGACTTAGCAAGTAAATTCATACATTTAAACCTATGTGTAAAAAGAATTGGACCAAGATTCAAAACTCTCAGGATTATTACAGATTTGTTCTATGAAGTAATAAACAAATACAATTATGTGTTGATGATATGGGATTAAATATACATACAGTGGGGTATTTAGAAATAATATAATCCCAATCATACCCAAAGAAAATTGACTGTCCCTGAATGTTTAACAGCACAATGCAAACTGCTACAATTAACTACTCAAGACACGCAACGTTCCAACATACAGTACCTATGCAAGAAATAATGCATCAACAATGATATCTGCTCACCTTCACGCCTTCTGTCTTCTTGTTGAGTAAACTTTTTGCTGCTGTAGATTAAAAAAAACAAAAAACTTAATTTTAATACCAGCACATAATACGATGCAGGCTGGATACAACATGCACCAAGCATCTTAGTTAACGGGGCTCATCCTTCAGGTCAAGGTGCAAAGACAACTGCAGAACTGGACCCATAATGCAATGTAGACTTACAGAGTGGTGGTGGGTTTATGCTTTATATTAGTTTGGCAAGTGTAATGTGTATTAATAAACAGGGCTCCAGCTGAAATCAACTGTTTTGTCCTGACATTAAATGCTTGGTGTACCTGAAAGAACCAGTGTAATATTCAACAATGTTAGTCTGGAGCCCTGCACTAAACTACACATGCATTTACAAAGGATTTACAAAGGATATTAGGATATTATGCTTTCACAGCGTATAGTAGAGCACTTATCAGAGATCTCACTGACTCAAACTCACAGATATGTTGTAAAGTTAATATCAATTACATTCTGAAAAAGGTGCAACTTCATATTTAATTTTTCTTTATGAATATAACAAAATAAGATTTAAACATGAGGGATATTTTTGGGGATCTGAGGTTGAATACAAAGTATGTACAGAGTATATAGAACAAAATATTATGATTAATGCCTGTGAGCTTGGACTTGTGAAATTTCTTCGAAGATCATTCATGTTCATCCAAAGTGTGTTGTACTTGTTTATGCGTATGTTTAGATTTGTGCATGCTTGGTTTAACATGTTTGAGCTAAGAACATTTCCAAAATAAAACGTCTCTAAACCAGCTGATGCATGTGTATTTTCATGCATGTGTAAGTGTTAAAGCAGAGTGGCGCTAACACCTATTTAATAAGCAATAACCCTTGCCATTCCAGATATCTTACCTCAAGTGGTTACCCAAAATCCATAAAAAGAAGGAAAGAAATGTGAAAAAAGCAAGATGAATGAAACAAGTCAAATAATACAAATGCTTTAAGCGAAGAATGGGTGCAAGAAGAGGAAGATACAATCACAACAATACAACAGAATAGATAACAAAATATAGTATGGCTTTGCAAAGAGGAAGAGCAACAGTTTGAAGGACAGAAGAGTTCATAGATGACAAAAGTCTGACATGCGATAATTCAAATGAGAACAGAAGATATCTGCAGTCACCCAGGTTTTAAGTCCACCGCTTTTAAATAATATCAACTTACCTGAAAAGTTTCGTGTGACCAGCAAAGTGGTCAATATGGCTCCCTGTGGTGATGTAAAAGCAGAGAAAGAAGTGATGGTAAAAAGAAAGTAAATGGAGAGAAGTGGATTAAAAGTCGCAGCAAGGAGAACAATGAGCAAAGACAAAAGGCAAAACAAAAAGGATAAAGGATTGTTGCTCACTTTGAGTTTTCTTCTCGCATTGAATTTTTTCAGGCACTCCACAGTCTCCTGCCTGTGCATCATCGAAGCCACAGTGGATCGTTGCTGCAAGACCATTTGTCAATTACAACTTTTGCTTGGCTTCAATCATGTGTTAAGAATAATACTATATCCACTGCTTTTTATGCATACACAAATCCAGGGGTGTTTGAGGGCCTCAGTAGCAGTGATGCGTTTACTTGGGTTGATAGTTAACATCTTGTTGATCAAGTCTTTGGCCTCTGGAGTGACGGTGTCCCACTCTGGCGACGGAAACTGATAAGAGAAAGATTGTTGACGGCAAATTGATTCATGGCAATCAGCAAAGCACATCGTACTCATGAAATTATGCTCGGATCTCTGTGAGCTCTTACATCATATGCTCCTGCTTTGATTTGTTGATAAAGACGGTGTTGATCTTCATCCCAAAAGGGAGGATAACCCACCAGAAGAATATATAAAATAACACCTGGGAAAATAATATCATCCATTATGCCAAATAATGTAACACGACATGGGAGGCCACTAAACTGTGGATTCAATTATTGTGTCTCAAATCTCAATTAGTCACCAAGTTTTACAGATGAGAATAGTTCAAACTGTTCATGTAGCAGTGAGATAAATCAAGTTATTTACCACAAGCCCACATGTCCACAGGTTTTCCATATGGATCTTTCCGCAGCACTTCTGGTGATAAATAGCCTGGAGTCCCAGCGAAACCTGAAGGAGCAACATGGTTGATGATGGAGAGATGGAATGGTTGCGCAGCCGCTCTGTATCACCAATATAGGTATTTGTTTGACTGATTGTGATTCATAAGTGGATGGATGAATACTCACCAAACCATGCCTGCTGGTCCCCCTGCACCTCGATAGCCAGCCCAAAGTCAGCCAACTTGACCGCCGCCCCCTTCAGCTTACTGGCCAATAGAAGGTTCTCAGGCTGGGGGGGGCGGAGTCAAACAGGTTAGAGGTGATAGGTCTCTGACAGCTTGCTGCTCACTAACAGAGATCTAAGATCAGATTAGCCAAAACCAAATCCTAATAGTAAACATTAGGGGTTTGTAGATGCTAAACTGATCTTAAATCAGTGTTTGAGGCAATTCTCTTTCTGCCACACAAAGGACAGCAGGACAGATGCATGATGGGGCCAAGACTTCAGACACAGGGTGAAGGAGACTCGTGTCTCTTGAGTACTATGAGCAAACATTATTTTTGTCGATATCAGCACAGAACTGAAACTGATAGAGGCAAACTGTGGGTGTAAATGTGATTCAACTACACAGACAACAGCAACAGATAGAAGACATAATGATAGTAATGTGCTGTATATTTAATTGTACTGTATGCAGAGAACCACAGTCAACACAGACACATGTCTTCAGGCAGAAAGGTCTTTGCTAACCTGAGGCCAGTGGCAGTGTGCTATAATGAATTATTCATTGCCTAACATTTCCAGATTCTAAACACAGACAGCCTGAAAGCAGATGGCACAGATATGACCTAACTACATTACCTCAGCTACGTACTGTATTTACACAACTAATCTGGACTAGGTAAAGCATAAATAAAAACACTGGTAAGCATCTTATTCTCACAAAGGTTGCTAAAGAGTGCAACGAATCATCAACAAACGCATGACTCAACAACTCTACTTTTTGGGGGAAAATTAATGTTCAAATTGTTATGTTCTTCAAAGAGAAGGAGAGTACATACTTGAATTAGTAAAGTCATAGCCGAGATAAACTTTTCACATTTTAACATGGCATCATGATGTACATGTTTATAATTCATACATTTGCATTACATAGTGCACACTCACGCTCAAATCCACATACATCAGCTGTTTGTCTTACAGGGGATGCTATTCTGTATTGTGTTCCATAGACTCATACAGTCAAGAAACAGCTTGGAATCATGTTGGAATTCAGAAAGGAATTTTTAAATATATACACTAAAGAGGACTGAGAAACTTAATCTTGAACAAAACGGACGTCTGTAGCCTGTCTTACTCCAAATGTATTAAAAAAGAAAAAAATAATTTCAAGTATTGTCAAACTACAAAGTTGTGCATGATTTTACAACCACAAGGATAGCATGATGGTGATGAAACACATTCTCTTCAAGCAACAGTGGGCAGAAGACAAGATTCAACAATCACACATGTGATGGTCATACAAACCTTCAAATCTCTGTGGACAATTCCATTAACATGGCAGTGATGAACGCTCTCCAGGATCTGCTGTATGCAGTGGCTGAAAGCGAGGCAAAAGGAAAAAAGCAAATGCAATGAATGAATGGGTAGATAAAGAATAAGTTTGGAAATTATTATTACATTTGATGCATGAAGTATTCTGAAAGGTCCATTATGCAACTTTGTATGTAGCAGAAAGTTTGACCTTGTACTGATCCAGCATGGTGCATTAACTTTTGATCATTGTTGTGTCTCCAGTGCTCCAGGGCCAATTGTTTTGTAGTTTTTCTGGTTAGAGGGTCCGTCAGCAGAGAAAACTTTACAAACAATTTATTCTACAACTTCCTGGAGATCACTGTAATGAAAAGGCACCTTGCTGACCACTCTAACAGCCGCTCGGTCACTACAAGGTCAATTGTGTAAATATATCAACTTTTTTCCATTATAAAAAGTTACATGATGTCCCTTTGCATGTGGGAGTAACTTGTATCGCTCCTGCTCTGGGGTCAGTAATTCCTAAACAAACCCAGAATCTTTTAGTGCATCACAACTTTGCATGCAGGTGCAGCGTTGAGGGTTTGTTATCCTAGGCCACATGAAGTCAGTTCAGTTTCAGCCACTGTTGCTGTGAAAAAGTAACCAGTAGATAGATAGTCATTCCTCCGACTAAATAAAAATTGGGCTATATGGGCTCGACTAGTTCTTGCTACTGGTAAATGTGAAAAGAACAATATGGTCTGTATGTAATTAATCACCTTTATAAATAACTCCTGGAGATACCACAGAGACAAGCAGCTTTATCACACCCCTGAGACAACCATATGTGAAATACAGCCTTGAAAAAGCATTCAGAGCACAATTCACGTTTTCAAATGTTTTCTTGTTCATACAATAAACATAAATATATTTCATTCACGTTTTTTGTGAAATACCAAATGTGATAATTGTGAAGTAAAAACAAAATGATGTTTGATTTTTTTGAAAATTATGCATTTTGTGTCTCTTTTATGTAGCTCTTTCACAAAAAATGTAAATCAAATATTTGTATGTTTGTGGTCTTGACAAGACGAAACAAAATGTGGAGAGGTTTATAATATGTGGTATGAAAACTTTTCACAATACTCTGAAGTCAGAGCAGAACTCAGCTGAGTGAGGGAACAGTACCTGGCGTCAGCCTCACTGTAGTACTCTCTGGCTACAATATCCTCAAACAGCTCGCCCCCAGTCACTCTAAAACCAGAACACAAGTCAAAAATGTGAGGACAATCATTCCGTTCCAGCGATATAGGCTATGAATTTGTAAAAAAGTATAACTTACAGATCAAACACCAAATAATGGAAACCCTCTTCTGATATGCTGTCATGGAGCCGCACTGCACACACACACATGAATGGTTAAAAACAGTGAACGAGCCTTATTTAGTTTTAGCTCAGTTTAGTCCAAACTTAAACTTCTTTGTAAGTCAAATCAAAGTTTATTTTAAAAATATTTCTTGTTGTAATTGACTATTTTAATTCAATAGTTAGAGGGAAAATGTATGTATTTTTACAGCTGAAATAAAATGTCTTTGTTTCATAAATATTGGTACATTTTTTAAAGATAGATAGATAGAGAGATAGATTTAATAGGAATGCATTTAATGCTCTTGTATATCTGCACTTTTCCTTCCTGTAAATTTTCTCATCTTATTTTGAGAAAGCAGCGTGCAAAAACCAAGCAGTTTGCCTGAAGAATTAATGAGGATGTACGAATGAAGGGTCAGCAGAGGTGTTTTTGTGCTGAGTCAGCTGGGAGGGAGTACATCATATATCATCATTAGAACACTCTCTCAGAGCAGTACATGTGCGCAAGCTTTCTGTTGCACGTATTCATAACAGCGTTGACAAGACGAATAGCCCAGAGCCAGCCACCTGAACCTACTGTAAGGCGTGTGTTGGTGCATATCTCACCAATGTTTGGGTGCTTCAACAGGCGGCAGATACGAGCCTCTCTCTCAAGCTTTTGATGATCTGAAAAACAAGCAACAAATAGACGCTGACAGTCATTTCATTGCATTTTATTAATCCCTGTCACAACTGGTTTGATAAATCCTCCACATAGAGAGAACGGTGTGGACTGAAGTGACAGCAGAGTTTGTTACTGTGCAACTGCGAAGGTGAGTCCCAAGTATCTGACGTAAACACCAGGCTCCTGTCAGTCTCACTGCTTTTCATGGAGTGGGGCAGATGGAACAGGATCTGATATGTGCATGCAATTTAGCTGAGAGCAAACAATACTTTTCTTCATGATTACATAATTAATATTACATAAATGAATACATAATGTTGTACTGTAGGCCTCCTTTGTGGTGTGGTTTTTCCATGTTTGTTGTTTTTGTTAATAAGACTGTACAATAAGTCACTTTAAATGATCACTGTGTGAAAACCTGCACTACTATTGACACTGTTTCCAATTGACACTTGTCACTTTTGTTGTACATATATCCTGCATGTAACATGTTTGCACATTTCCTCCTTTTGCACAACCTGAGTGTCTCTATCCATGCTAAATGTGACATGTAAATTTCTCCTATGTGAGATAAATAAAGCACATCTTATCTTATCTTATTTATTGTGTAAATAATTAGGTTCAGAGTTAAGAAAGAATATTGACCAACTAAAATGCATTATTTACTAAAGGAATCTGTATGATTTGGTTATAGGAAAACAAAGGCTTCGTATAGATACATGAGTGAGCATAGAAATGGAGTTGGACAAAAAACATTTAAATAATTTACAAAAAAATGACCCCTATAGTCGTCATAATTATCTCTAACTGACTGTAAGCTATACGGTGAAAACTATCAATGTATGTTGCGATGTATATGTTAATTGTTTTTGAGCACCCAGGTGATATGGTTTTATTGCAGTTTAATGTGTGTTTAGTTGCCCTGTGAAAAGTAGTTACGTTGAGGACAGTACAGTAGAATGAGGTTTCGGCTTAAAAATAGGACGCCTATTTCTACTTTCATCCTCGTCCTCTGCTTGTTCTTCTCGATGCTCTGGAAACTGTTCAAGTGAGAGCAGCAGAAGGCAGGATGCAGTTGGTGTCCGTTTTGCTCACGGCTCAAAGTAGTTTCTAAAGTATGTTCATATATAGATTATAAAATGTATGTATTTATTTATGATGTTAAAATATATTATGTAATTTACCATTTTCGGCAAAGTCAGAAGTTTAAGATTACTATATGCAGTAAACAATGTGGAAATGCCCCAAGAGAAAGTTTCTGATTTTAGCTGACTTGACTGGAGGCACAACTGGGTATTTTAAGACCACACATTGAAACACGCTGCTTTTTTGTTTGACAATTTGGGAACTATGGATTCCCTTGAAAAAGAGGTTTTTAATCTCAATGGGATTTTTCCTGGTTAAATAAAGGTTAAAAAAAAAATTTCAAGTTGAATCTTTATACGTCTGGTTCATACAGTGCTTGGGCAAAATTTCCAAATGCTTAAAAGTGACACATTTAACTGTTGAAAAGTTCATATTAAAGCCCAGAGATGAGCGGGTTTTGGTCTGAGCGGGGGATGGAGGTACATAAGTGGGCAGATCTTAAAGGCGTGTGAGGCAGACTGAAAAGTATTTTAAAACCTGACTCAGTTACATCAATTCTGCCAGATTTCCAGCCACCTCCACTGAACAAAAATAAAAACACAGAACTTATATTTTTATGGGTTCATCCTAAAAATAGAAAACTGCATATAAACTCAATCGATCCATCTCTAGCAGATATTGTTCAAACATGAATAACGACAGGTGTGCCTTAGTCTGGCCACAATAAAAGACCACGCTCGAAAATGTTCAGCTTTTGCTCTTTTGCGGGTCGGGGAGGGCAGAAAAACAGTCAGTATCAGGTCAGGTGTGACATCATTTGCCTCATGTGCAACCCGTCTCCTTCGTGAGTTGACAAGGTTGTTGAATATGGTATGTGGAATGTTTACAGAGTTGTAAATATTCCCATAACAAATGGGAGCAAGAACGAAAGCACTACATTTGTGTTTATTCAGCTCAAGGATACCCAGATTGTTTGTCTCAAATCAATTCTAACAAATATTCACAGTGTGTAAACTAACTTTTTGAGTAAAGCTATCTGTCTTAAACAGATAAACTGCCATGTCATTGTTTCTTGCTCTTCCTTCAAATACCTACAAAAAAATTCACACTGACTTTCCTATCACTCTATCTCCTCCACAGGTTGTGCACCTCTCCGGCGACTGGACATGAGTTGTCTAGCAACTCCTGCACCAATCAGAGCACCAGGCTTCTCTCTCCTCTGCAGTGGAACCAGCCTTGCATGCAAATGGTTGAGAGTTGAGTTCACACACAACTATCTCTAACTCTACGAATCTAACTTCATGTGCTATTGCAAGTTTGTTTGCAAACGCAACAAATTAAAATTATCCTGGATTTGTAGTCATTCTCAAGAGGTTTAAATAAATGTCAACTGATTAAAAAAAAGATTATTGTGTAAGACTATGACAGTTCAGCAGTTAGGGGGAATATTTGAAAAAAATATGAAATATTTCTCACTTTTAACATTTGTACAAACAACTTTCAATGTATAAAGAGTAGGGCTTGATTATCAGAGCAGATATTACTGGCTTCCCCTTTTAATTGCTACTCTTTCAAAAAGGCCAAATTAGTGCTGTGAGTTTGGGCAGACGGTATTGTCTTGATAAGTTATCAGTTATGCCATATTTTTTCCATTTATGGACGATGGATTTAAAAGTTCTCTTTTAATATCCTAACAAAACTGCACTATTTTGTCTATTGACACCTTTGTTTGAGCCCGCAGAGATTCAGAATTTATTTTGAATCTCTTTGTACAAGGGACTAAAAACCCTTGTACAATGTTCTATTATATATGTTTTTAGTTAAATTAGGGGATATAAAATATTTACAAATATCTGTCAGTTTGAGTCTTAAAAGAACACCTCACTTTTTTGTGTTGGAGTCTGTATACGCTTAGAACTGTTAATAATTATTTGATAACAAAAGCAGTTATAGGACGATTGTTAAAAGACTCACTTCTTTTAAATAATCAATGAATAATGCAAGCCTTTAATGCCAAAATAGCCATTGCAAAGTCTGCAATGCAAAATCCAGTAAATTTCAGTGGAAACAAATATTTAAAAAAGACAAGAATCATACTTCAAGAGAGTATGTGAAGTCAGTTAACCACAGACACCCAGGAATGCAGGGCTTTTACTTGAATATGCAGTAATCCCAGAACCATTGGCTGATAAGTGACATACAGAAAGTATATTTCAATGTCTGTGTGTATTGTCTATTTTAACATTCAACATAAAGAGAGCTGCCGAAATTTCCAGCATTTCCTCATGGCAGTGTTTTGTTCATGCTGAACAAGAGAATTCAACTGGGAGGAAGTCTATTCTATCTAGTCTCACATCCGGTTCCCTGATTCCTGGTGACTTTATTTGCATTGCTGCAGGATATTGCGCTGCACAAAAGACAACGTGTCAGTAACTTTTCTAATGTGGTTTGCATCTGCTCAGCTGTGTCAGTAATAACAGCACTGTGTTCCACTATTCATATGGTTCATTCAAGGTTTCACTATTCTACAAATCACATTTTACATAATTCAACAACCAGAGTGCTGCAGCTGCTTCCCTCTTCCAGGCTGATGGTTCTAAGGTGTGACAAGTTAACAAAAATACTTTTACAAGCAAAAAGTAGGAGAGAGATCCATGTTTAAATTATTTGAAACACTAAACATTGCTAACCCATGAAAAATGGTTTTACGTTATTTGGTTTCTTCCCATTCAAAGAGTATGGTGGTTTGTTTGGAATTGTGAATCGCCATGTTTTGGTATACTTTACCCAAACAAAAGGCCAGCAGAGGACAACAACCTTCTGACAGTGTATCATGAGCAGTGCTGCTACTGTGATTTATTTTCACAGCAGCAGGATACTCAAATTATATTTTACTCCGTAGTTACCGTCACAGACAAGCTGCAAGTCTGCTTGTTTATGTCAATAGAAAGTCACATTGTTTAAATGAGTCATTATATTCACAAGCATGAACGATATCATGTTAAAATGTGGGCAATGAGGGGTAATCCGAGGCACTGACCATGTATACTTTAATCAACAACATATTTCATGCCTTGAAAATATTAAGTTCATTGTCACTCGCATGAGGATATTACAAGTAGAAATGTTGAGCTGAGACTTTCGTCACGATGGGTGTTTACAGTTAGACTGCAATTGTTTTAATTCATCCTGGTCTTTGTGCCATAGAACAGTACTTTCTATCTTTTGTTATAGAGTGTTGCAGATTGCGGGTGTCAGTTAGTATAATCATAAGAAACCAAATTGATACAGACATAGAGGCTCAGGTCAGCTGACAGCTGCTAGGGCGACTCTCACTGACATTGTGCATTTGTCATTTCATAAACCATCTATGTCTCAAAGCAATATTTTCTGTACATCCGCACAAGCACTGTATGTATAATTACTGTTTCACACATAGCAACGTATTTGTGGATCCGTCTATAACTGTATTGTAGTTGAATTCAGGATAAAAGATTGGTCTCATTTATAACCGACGAGTAGCTCAGTTGGTAGAGCATTGGCCTTTGGGCCTGAAGGTCGTGGGTTCGAGCCCACCGTAAGACCTACTTCACAACTCCCGCTGATGTCTGCTGTAGTTGTGTCCTTGGGCAAGGCACTTAACCCCACTTTCAGAATCTTAAGAGCTTATACTTCATATAGTTTACATGTCTTTCCTCTAAATCCAAGGTTTATTATTACACAAGTTGACAACCAAAAAATTGTCAGGGGTTTCTCAACTGATTTAGACTAATTTTGGTGTTCTGAGTCCGAATATCACTTGCATTTTGCTCTATCAGGTCAACTTTTTGAGATACAGCCATAGTTACGGATTATGTACGTCTACGTTATTGTGAATTCTGCTTATCAAATTTGATGGAGTAAATAAAAACTCAAT